CCTGATTTACCTGTATTTGGGCTCCGCTCACGTATTGTTTGCTTTGGGCAGAACCACATGCCCACAGGGCAGCTTTACTACATCCTGCCTTTCCTTTGTGGACACAGGAGCTGTTGTAACACAGAGTGTGTTTGTCATGGACTTGTTCTGGGTGGGGATTGTCATGAGCCCTTTCTGCTTCGTAGGGATTTATTCCTCGTCTAGAAATCAGGTTTGGGAGGGATCTTGGAACATGAGTTCAAAGGAATATACTCATAATAATGGGTATTGGGGGGCAGGGGGCAAGGTTTTGGATGGTATGTTGTATTAGTCAGTTTATCCTTGCTTCCTGGCGGTAATGGGAAAATTACCTGACTGTGTAGGTGAGTGCCAGCAGAGCAGGTTCAGTGACATGCCTGAAGCCAACAGGGACTACTAGGACAGAGCAGATAATTGAAGCTGGACCCACTGTTGGTTTTAAAAAGTCAGACTTCTCTTTGAAAGCCTCTGGCTTCCCCTGTGGCTTGAAATGAAGCTCACCCTCAGCTAGGCTGGAGCAGTCACCAGAAGAGGTGAGGGAGTAAGCAGCACCTTGTGGGCATGTTCTCTCTACAGCAGTCAGAAACCAGTGTCTTTCCTGCTTCTGCCAGAAGGAATAATAAATACAAGTATTCTCGCTTCCATCTGCAATCACTGCAGCTTTCCAGCTCCTGTTATCCCAATTAATGCAAAGCCTGTGGAGAGGGGCTGCTGAATCAGACAGACCGTGTCACGTCAGGTCATGCTGAAATCTTTTGTTCCCGTAGCGATTCCCGAGAAGGGTCCTGGTGGGTCATGGCGAAGGTCTGCCTCGCTGCAGAGCTGCCTTGTGATGATGGCCAGTGGCTGTAGCCTCAGGAAAGATGCCGCAGAAATTAGGGCAGTGCAGTCTCATCTTTCCCCGCATTGTGTTATTGCCCTGATTTATAGTAAAGCTGTGGCTGTGCAGCTTTCCCCCGTTGTTCATGTGGAGCAGTTCATCTGAGGTGAACGGAGCGATGCCAAGAGTCTTGCAGCCCCTGCTTCGCAGGGTAGCGTCTTGGATCAGAGGAGACCTTCTGCTTTACAAAACTCTCTCCCTCTGCTCTCCTGAGGAGTTGAGCAGCCACTGGAATTCGAATTTTGATGAAAAACGTTCCAGTCTGTCTTTTCGTCTCGGTGTCTGTAGGATTTTTTTCTGGTGGGTGAGACTGGGTGGGGGTTTTTTTAGCCCTTCCTGTGTTGAAAGCATTCAAGTGTAGTAACACCACCGCACTCCTTTAGGAAAGGCAAATATTATTACATGGTGGGAAAAGCAACGGAGAGGGAGTTTGTAACTTGAAGGGTTCTGAGTCATGACTGATACGGAAGAAGCTTTCAGCCCTGTTCAGAGTCTCTGACCCTAAGTGTTTTCATATTTTTACAGAGCCTGTTTATCTGGCACTGATATGTTTTTTAAGGGCTGAATACAGATGCTTCTGTTGCTTTTCAGTTTTGGACTGTGTAGAAAGCTTTTGCCTTTTATGTACACCACCACCATCCCACGGTCTGTGCAGCAGACTCTGTACGGGACCAGAACATGGAAAACAGCCCCAAGAAAGTCGTTATTTAATGCGGAAGCTGAAGCAACTATTGTCAAAGAACCAGAATGCCTAAACGGGGAAGGGAATGTCACTGTCACACCTCTAAGGGCCTTCTTCACTAACTGGGAAAGTGTGCTTTTAGCTGTGTTAGCTCACCCTTTAAATATCCCTCTGTAAACAAGGAGAGTTTTTATTTTTAGCACAATCGCTGGTCGAAGCGAATCCTGGATCCGCCGTTCCCTCCCCGTTAGGATTCACTAGAGGAGCTTTTCATAGATGAATTGTGATCTGTGCCTGCTGATATTTCACTGTGTTTTCTTCTCCCCCTCACCTCACATCCCCCCCTGTAGCGTAGGCATACTGTATGTTGGCCTTGTTAACCTTTATTTTCTCCTCCCCTGTGTATCTGGACAATGTCCCTTTTAATATAGTGGTATGAGGCAGATGTATCGCAATCTTGCTCCAAGGTGACAGAGCTGTGACTCTGCAAACCGCTGATAGCACTGGCCTGCTGCTTGATGCTCAAAAGCCTCCAAGTGTGGGTACTCGGTGTCTTTTTAAAGTGCACAATATCTCCCCTGAGCAGCTCGGGGTGGAGGGACCCTGGGATGGGAGGTTGTGTTTGGGGGAGGTGGTGTGGCGGGTTTGGTCCTTGTGGTTCCTTGCTCCTTGCTTTCGGCCGCGTGCCCAAGCAGGTCGGCCAAAGCCCAGCTCGTGCTGTCCTGTGACCTGAGCCTGCGGGCACAGCGGTGTCCTTCCCGGTGAAAACAGCACTGGGTCGTTTCGGTCTCACCTACTCTGAATGCCAGCCACCCCCAAAGTGCCAAAGGGGCTTGAAAGGCCTGATACAAAAAAAACCCAAACCCACAACAAACAAGTGAATCTGAAATTCTTTATTTACTTCTGGCTTTCATTCCTGTAGGATATAGTGGATCACGTGCTTTTCCTTGCAAGGACTTCTGGCTCTTTCATTTCTCCAAATGTGAAATGGTCTCGTATTGAGAAGACACTAACTAGTTCCTGTGGGTTTGGGTGGAGTTTGCAGGGGGAGCCGATGACTCTGAAAGCAGGGATTGTATTCTGGGATGTGTGGTCTGCTCCTCTGGGAATGGCTTGTCTCTCCCCTGCCTAAAGATCCCCTACAAGCAGCCTGTACCTGAGCAATATATGGACATTTAAATCCTCTCAGCCCGATGCACATTGCTGTTGTGCTGAGGCCGTAGCAGGCTCTCAGACCTCTGTGAGTAAATGATGCAACTCAGGTCCCTTCTTGCCTTCGTGTGCTGTGAGTCACCGGGAAGTCCTGTCGCTGCAGGTGCTCACTCGAGCAGGAAGGCGAAGCCTAATCGCTGCGGTCCCTGGACACTGAGCTCTCTGAAGCCAGCCTGTGGGTACATCTCAGCCCGTCCGTATGTTCTAGGAAAGCTGTTCCCAGCTCCGATGTGGGCTCTGTGTGTGATTCCCTGAACTCTTACCAGCACAGTCACTGTCTCACAGGTGGGGCAGGATGCAGGCTGGCAGTGAGCCATTAAGACCCTCTCAAGTGCCCAAATTCTCCTCCTCCCGTGGTTTTATTTCTCAATTTGTGACCTACTGTGCCCTCACTGGGCAGGCAGGGTGTGAGGCTGATGCTAAGATGTGAGCTGCTCTGGTGCGTGGTCCTGCCCCGAGCCGGAGACCAGAGGCAGGCACTGCCCATCAGGGTACGCTCAGCTGGGTCCCGTTCTGCAGGTGGAAGGTAACCTTGCTTCAGGGCAAGGGTGCGCTGTGGTTTTCCCTGTGATGCTCAGTGTGTGTTGAGGGTCTTAAGACACTGGGTTCTCTTGCTGGGCAGTAACCAAACCATCCTGCTACTAGCGTTTCTGCTTCCCACCTTCATCCATCACCTTCCTTCCCCCATTCTGAAGCACCCCGTGCGGCTCAGTGCCTTGGTGACACTTGAGTGAGTCTCCTGGAGAGATTGGTGACCTGCTGAAGGTGCTACTGAGCCACCTCCTATCTCTGGGGATTTGATTAAGGCTGAAATATCTACATCAGATGCTCTGGGCTTTAAACTGTGAGTGCAGATATAGCCTGTAACCTCAGGAGAAGGTGATTTGCGTCTGAGCTGAATATTCTGGGGAGCAGCTTGGAGCCAGTGGGGTCCTGTGAAAACAAGCTGCAGGAGACAGCAAAGAGCCTTTGCCAGCCTGGAAAGGATCCTGCAGGGAAAAGCCTCCAGGTCAGAAAGAAAAGTTGAGATCTGTTCCTCCCTGAGCTGCTCAGTGACCTGTTGGCTCCAGGTGCGGGTGACAAGCTGGCATGGGGGCAGCGAGGGGTGGCTCAGCGGAAGGGAGGTGAGGAGGAGGAAGGGAGGGCATCCAGCACGTGAGGCACTGTCATTCTCTGCATGACATTTGTCCGTCTCTGTAACAAGCATTGGGCTCTGGGGAGCAGGACACAAAAATAGCAAATGATTTGGAAGAGCAGTAAAGGTTTTAGCCGTTATTTTCTCTGAAGCAGGTGAAGCATGGCCAGTCAGCAGCTTCAGGGCTTTACAGAAGCCCCCTAGTTCGTGCCCCTTCCCTGGTAGGAGTGCCATGCTGAATAGTGGCAGGAGCCATACGGAGGAAGGTAATGGGGAAAGAGGGGGGGGAAAAAAAAAAAAGGTCAGAAATTAGACTTCATTAGTTGCATTAACCACCAAGCAACTTGTAGGTAGCAGGAGCTTCTTGCAAGCGAAACGTTGCGTGGGGAGGCAGCAAGTACAAGACAGCAAGTATGTGCAGCCCTCTCTTCCTTCGCTGTGGCGTGCAGCCCTGGTGAGCATCTCTGCAAGCCCACACCACCGGCCGAGCGGGTCGAGCCGAGGACGAGGCTTTCCTTAGATCCAGCGTCTTTTCCTGTCTGTGCTGCTGACTTGTGGTGGTGTTTTGTCCCGCCGCTTGCCAGGTCAGGCCAGGGACGTCTCTTCCTTTATTTTTATGCAGCACAGTGTGGCCTCCATAACCTTTAAGGTGCCGTTGTTAGATAAATAACTTTATATCAGCGCTGAAAGTTTGTCCTGACATTTCTGTGGTGTTTTCACACAACGGCAGCATTAAATTGAATCGACTCGGCGGGGATTGCAGCCAAGCACTTTGATGCTAATGGTTGCAGTAACCTCATGTATTCATATGCCCTCAGAAGCGCGCTCCCCGGTGCAGCGGGGCAGTTCCTTGTCCCAAGAAGTGTTTGCACTGTTCAAACCACCTGTTACCAAAACGAAAGGCGGAATAGAGAAGTGCAGTGGCTTTTGGGAAGATTCCCTTTTGGGAGGAGGCTCCCTGCGCTTGCCTAAGTTTTATCAAAAAAAAACAAGGACAATTTGCCGTGGTTTGGTTTGCGTTTTAAGTGTTTTTGCTGGAAACTCATGCGCCTCTTTTTGTCTGTTTCCCCTAGTGCTCCTCACAGCAGTGAACTGTTACAGTGTGAAAGCTGCTACTCGTGTTCAGGATGCCTTTGCTGCGGCAAAACTGCTGGCGCTGGCTCTGATCATCATTCTTGGCTTCGTGCAGCTTGCGAAGGGTAAGTATGGCTCCTTTTTCTTTTGAAGGTGGCGTTAAAGCAGAATCTAGGAATTAGGGATAAAACCCCAGAGTCCTAACCCAGGCCTTTCAGAGCTGGCAGAAATGCTTTACAAACATCTTTTGTTCTCTTGCAGACTTGGGTCATATATTTCCAGCTCATACTTTGTAAAGGGCTGAGTGCTTTTGTGCGTTTTATTTGTGAGGTTTTGTATTTACCTTGTTGAAGTTCTGCTTGATTTTGTGCTGCTGGAACCCAGCATATACCACCCAAGGTCTTTTCCATTTAACTCAATCACTGGGAGGCCTCTCCCTTTGAGACTGTAGAGCTGCCAAGTCTACTGGGAGTGCAAATTCGGTTACTGTGGCTCTTGGAAGTTTGGAGAGGGGGTTTGTAACTGGTGGCTGGCCACAGCCGCTTGTTAGTAGAGAAGTATCTGCACGTGAAAACCAGACCCCAGTAATTTCTAGTCCTTCACAAACTGCCCCGATGTATTTGCCTTCTTCCTGCTTCAGGCATGGAAGAGCTTGGTCGAGTCCGTAGGGTCACGTAGGGAAGCTTGGGTCAGCAAGGCTGCCAAAACCACATGATGGGCTCTCAGCTGACACTAGCACACTTGTCTGTCAACTGACATCTGAAAAAGATGATAAAAATGGGAAGACAAAGCAAATTTCCTGGTGGTTTTCCTTGTTTTCTTCGTGCAAACTTAAAATCCTCTCAAACCTAGGGAGATAGATGTCCCCAGCTCATCTGATGAACTAATCCGCACAGATAAACTTTACTGTGTGCATTTTTGTGTGTGCAAGTTTTGTGAAAAGAAACTTTTCTTGGGGAACAGCACGGCCCTGTTTGTTAAACATGGCTACAAGTCTGTAGATAATCCTGCCTGTCTCTGTACTGGCAACTGTGTGTGTGTTTGTGTGTGCATGTGGGTCTTTTTAATTTGTGTCTCAGCTATGGGAGCTAGTGCTGTCTTTGCAGAATTTCTTGCTTTATCAGAGGTTTTATTTTCTTCCAGCTCAGTGCCTACACTCAACAGCAACATTGTTTGAGGCTTATCACAAAATATACCTCCTTCCTCTTCATAACTCCCCCAGTCTGCTTTGCTGATTTTTTTTTTCTCTCAGTAGGAAAAGGATAAGTCAATATAAATCTGTTAGTTCTTTAACATTTTACTACTAAAATGTCTTTACAATTGTTTTTTGCTTGAAGGTAATAATCTTAATGTACTTCTTCAGAATCACCTTCCTTCCCTCTGTACTATACTTTTGTCCTTTTGTTGAGGAAGTTCCCTGATACTTCTGTTAACTTCTATCCATAACCAGTAGGAGATTTCAGTCTGGTGTACAAAAAAACCCCCCACAGCCTATACCTGGAAGCTTTTAACCTCCTAGTAAGCCTATTACAACTTCAAGTTTTTGGAAGTCTGGAGAGGTGCAGCTGTGACTTGTGTGTATCTTACAGTACAGCTCCTTTCACGTGACATTTAGTTTTTTCTTGGCCCTTTCAGACAGTGAAAGGTTACAAGATCAAAAGCAATAGTTAGATAACATCTGAAAGAGAGGACCTTTTTTTCCTGTCTGTGCATGCAATGCTCAACCTGAAGCAAGCTGGATCAAATTGGGAACCTTAGGATCTACAGAGGATGCTCCTCACAAAATCTGCATTTACACCTAAGCCTAAGTGGCACACGGCTGCTTGTCTGAGTTCCTGTTTCACCACATACTGCCTGGGATTCTGCCTGTGGTCTGATGTGGATTTTCTTAATCTCCTTATGGAAGTTGCAAGCTCTCTGGTAAGTCCTTAAGAATGTGCAAGCTCCTTTCATATGCCCTTCCTTAGCTTCCACAGACATTCTGCAACTTGGTCAACTTTTGTTTAAATCCTGCCAGGTAACTTGATGCTTTTAGGTAGCAGGGACACGTCCAGAAGCTGTCTTTTTTTTTTTTCCCTTCTTTTTTCTTCCCAGAGAAGCATATTAGCATCATTTAAAGCACGCTGAAAATGAAAAAGTGCTGCACTGTTCCTCGTCTTCGTTGGAACGAGAAATGATGGGTGCAAGCTGTGAGGCAAGGGGAGTTTAAATCAGCCATTAGAAAACCACTTCGAACTGTAACGCACAGCTCAGGTAGATTGTCCAGGGAGGCTGTCGCTTTTTCTAAAAGCGTGTTTAACCTCTGAGCTGGTGGGTGATCCCGGGTCCCACAGTGCCATGCCTTTCTGCTCCTCTGCCTGCCCTGCTTTTCTTTTATACCCGTTCCAGCACCCTTTGGATAAAGAAGCCTCTTACCACTACCAGCTCAGTAAATTCAGTCCCAAGCCAGCAGCTCTTATTGGGATGAAAGACACCCCAAGTTGATTTGTCTGGGGCTGCAGTTTTAGCAGTGGTGGGGTTGTGTGTTCCCTTGACAATGCTTGAGCAGCGCTGATTGACTTGCTTTAGTGGTTCCTGCCCCATTGCTGATTTATGTTTACAATATCCATAAACAGAGGAGAGGAGCAATACCACAGTTTCTTGCTCAAGTGTGGAAACTTCTGAGACTTCACAGGAGCATGTCTTCTTCCATATCGACCTCCCGCCTTCGGCTTTTGGCTTCTTTCCTTTTTATCCTTTCATTGGATATTTTCATTATTTTCAGAAAAGCAGTAACATCTCAGGACAAAGAACTATGTGGCAATATTACCACATAGAAAAGAGCGTGTCCGTGTGATCTTTCTGTGGCCAGCTGTTTTCCATCACTTCTTTCATGCAACTTCAAAAGGAGGGTAGAAGTCGGTTTCCTACTTAGACAGCCTTTCAGCTACTTGAAAGTTGGAGTCGGTATAGCTGGCCTGCTTGGGATACAGTTATTTTACTAATACAAAAGTTACCCTTTTAAAAGCCTTTGTGGGGCTAGAGTCGTGTTGCTTTAAAAGTTTGATGTCGTGGACTTGATATATTAGTGTGTAAAGCCTTATATAGGGACCCACAACTGTACAACCCAGCAGGTTTTAGGACTTAAATAGTACGAATAACTTAACAGCATAAACGCAATCAGGAGGTTTTTTTCACCTTGCACCTCACAGAGCCTTAAAAACTAACCTAGGCACGAAATGGTAAAAAATACAAGTGCTGATCTTCAAGGGCACACTCATGCTTTTCACGTGCGAGGAAATTGAGGAAAGGTTTTGATGTCAAAAAATTCTAAAAAAAACCCATATCGCAGATATATTTGAGATAGATTCTTTCCTGTTGTTGATGTCAAAGGGTTTCTTAAACGTTTATCTGCCCTTGGGCAGCTTGAGCAGCGAGATGCCGTTCCTGGCTGCTGTGTGTTCAGGGAGTGCTGCAGTGCTGGGCTCCAGCCCTCGCTGCAATTCCTCACCAGCAATTCTGCTTAGAGAAAAAAAAAGAAAGAAAGAAAAGATGGTGCATTTGGGACTCAGGGAAATAGATTGAATTATTTTCATTAAACTAGCTGTCTATTTTCCCTTTTAATTCCTGATTTCTGATCTTAAATTTCTCATCTGCGGTGCCTTGAGTGCCTGTTTGATGGCAGCAGCATTATTTATTCTACCTCCCTTCAGTGGGCTTGTCAGAGACCAGCAGAGAAGCGTCTGCTGAGCAAGCACAGGGTGACTTAAGGGCAAAGTAGGCAGGTTTAACTCCAGACATTTGCCATGGAGAGATTAGACTAGGCAGAGAGTTTGGGGGTTTAATCTTGTTTTTTTCTTTAAATAGATGTGTGCAGTATCAGCCAGCGCTGGCATCCTCCCTGCCCCGGTATCATTTGGTCTTTGTAAAAAAAAGTGTGTAGAGATGTGGTTGTGACTGGCAAGTTCTGAACTCGTCATGGGTGGGTTTCTGAAAGTACCAAAATGAAGATCAAAATGTTCAGTCATTAATGTGCCTGTTAAACCTCCTAAAAATATTGTCCAAGTACTCCGGGTGCGAGGCAACATCTTAGTGCTGGGAGCGTACGTGCACATCTGGGTTCTGCTTTTATTTATCAACTCACTTTGCTTTTTGCTAGAAAAGGCCCATTTGGTCTCTCCCTCTCTCTGTAAGGGTTATTTTGGTAGTTTCCCATCCAAACTTTTTTCCTTGCCGTTTTCTCTCTGAAAAACAAATCCTGTGATTAAGACCCAAGGGAGGGAAGGTTTAATGGCTCTTCCTTTCCTCCCGGATTTTCTTCTCTGCTGTCAGTAGCAATGCCAGTGGAATGTCGCAAAAAAACCCCATTGAGCCAGATCAGCAGTGAGACTGGGGGGCAGAGTGGATGAGCTCTAGGACAGAACTGGGGACATGAGAATCAACTGACGGTGATTGCAATTATCTGAGAGGAGTTTGGAGCCCAAACCAGATGGGTGTTCACCCAGCCAGCCCATGACTAACTCGCGTTGTAGATCCTCTTTGGCAGAGAAGAGGCCAAGCCTATGGATGGTAAACGTCCCTCAAGCTCTGAGTGCATCTCTGCAAGTTGGGGCTGAGGCTTGTGCAGAAAAGACTGCAAGAAAAGCGTGCCCTGCAGCTGCCCGTGCTGCTTCTTGTTACGCTGGCATTCAGAAGTGACACTATAGCATGATTTTCCAGCGGTAAGCTTTGAAGGAAAGGTATTATGCTTCCCTTACTCACCCTCTTGTTCACAGAGCACATGGGGAGTGGAAAGCTGGGCTGAAGGAGAGCACAAACGAGGAAGCTGGGAAAGCTGCCAGCATCCTGCACCTCTAAATCACATCAACTACATGTTGGAGATTAATCAGGTGTCTTTACGCTGGAGGGTTGATACAACACAATTATGTTTTATGGGCCTCTCACTCTAATCTTTATTTCTTTTCCAGCCAAAGGTGGATGTAAATGCTGAGGCGAGGTGGGCATGGCAGGTTAGCCTGCTGCGCAGCTTGCCTGCTCTGGTTCGGAGTGAGCAGCGGTTCGTTTCTGCTCAGACAATTTTTTTCTTGCCCTCTCTGCCCGGAATACTTCTGGCAATTGTAGATTCAAGGACAGAGTTCATCTTGCT